TCAACTTTTTTCGTTTAATTTCCTTGATGATGACAAAAGGAAAATAGACTGAAAAAAAACTTGGAAAATTTGAGCCAAGGACATTCTATAGAAAATATCTGAAGAAAATATGTTACATAGAAAAATCGAATTCCACTGACTGTTTTTATTGAATATATTCTATTGAACATTTTACTAGAATCGGCCAAAAACTAGTAGAAAATTCACAATAGAAATTCCTAACAAATTCGCTACATTTTTCTATTAAAATTTTTCCTACGCGGTTCTTGAAAATTCTTAGGTTTTCGAGAAAATTCCAAGGAAATTTTCCGGATTTCGAGAAAATTATAGGAATGACTCTGGCGAACCAAGTTGATAGTTGGGCTTTCAATAATTTCCAGTGTTTGAGAGAAAATTGAGAGTTAGTTGAGGATTGGAGCAACGAGGACTACCATGCATTTTATGTTAGCCCCTCTCAATATTGTCAACTTTTTTGAAAATTGAGAATTGGATTTGTAATTCTTGGTGATCTCTTTATTTCCAATCAACTTTTTCGGAATTGAAAATTAATCCCAGGACAATTTTAATAGATTTTATTTTCGAAGATAATTTAAAATGAAATTTCTAGTGAACAGAAATTGTTAAAATTAAATAGGAATAGGAGCCGAAAAAAAGTGAAAAATGTGAAAATCGACTCTTGACCATTCATTAGACCCTAGAAAGATCAAGATCAAGGTTGAACGTGAGTCAACTTTGGGCCAACTCTCCATTGACATTTGGTTAACTTTGGGTCAACTTTAGCTTGGCCTTGGGTTAACCTTGGCTTGACCACGAGTCAACCGTAGCTTGACCACGGGTCCACCTTGACTTGACCATTAATCCACCTTGGCTTGACCATGGGTCAATCTTGGCTTGACCATGGGTCAACCTTGGCCTGACCATGGGTCAAACTTGACCTGACCATGGGTCAGCCTTGGCCTGACCATGGGTCAGCCTTGGCTTGACCGTGGATCAGCCTTGGCTTGACCATGGGTCAGCCTTGGCTTGACCATGGGTCGACCTTGGCTTAACCATGGGTCAAGCGTGGCTTGACTATGAATCAACCTTGGGTTGACTATGGGTCAACCTTGGGTTGACTACAGGTCAACCTTGGCTTGACCGCGGGACCTGTTGATTAAATCTTGATTTAACCTTGACAAAACCTTGGTTAAACCTTGATTAAGCCGCGATTAAACCCTCATTGAACCTCGATTAAATGCTTTTTAGGCTATAATTTCAAAGCAAATGAGGCGATCGGCGCTATCTTCGAACTCGACCGAGGTAACAGCCAAAAGATTATTTTAAGCCATAATTGAAAAGATTTCGGCGATTATTTTTTGAATGATCATCGAAAAACTAAATTTGAAAAAAATCAGATACGTACATACATACATATATATGGACATGATCTAAAAACTGCATAATCGAACTCCTAAGACCAAAATTACTCATCCTGGCACAAAAAATTAAAATTTCAGATTTGATCAATACATCAGGGCTTCCTTTCGGAAGCAAAAAATCCAACTCTCAACTTCACAAAAATTTTCAAGTAGATTGAGAGAGAATTAAGAATAAAAAATCCTATTTTCATGAACAAAAAAATTCAACTTTCAATTCCCAAAGAAGGTGAGAGTAGATTGTGAGACAATTGACAATCAAAAAAATTGAGTCGATTGAAAGACAATAGAGAATAAAAAATGCAACTGTCAACTATAAAAAAAATAGAGAATAGATTTAGAGATAGTTAAGAATCAAAATTCCAAAATCGAATTTTCAGTTCTGAAAAAAGTTGATTGAAATTGAAGAAGTCATTAAAAATAATCCAATTGTCTGTTTTAACCCGTCACTAGGCGCGCTATGAGCGATTTCCTCACCAAAATTTTCACTCCATAGGAAATATACCTTACAAGCGTATATTTTGCTGAATTTTTTTATATGCCTCAAGTAACTCTGCTATTTGACTCTCGTGGTGATCAAAGTCATTTATTTGTCAGGGTTGAGTAGAAAAATAATATTTTCTTCGACACAGTCGAAATTTTCCACGTGTTACGGGTACGGCGCTTGCGCCGCAGAACGCCGAATAGCACCGTCTATGGCGATATTTGGCTCTATTATTACGAGAAGCCGATGATCGATTCCCTCATCGCGCGTCTCAAGAACGGTGGTGGAACCGCGCGCCTACTGACGGGTTAAAAAAAGTCGATAGTAAAGAGATCGGTTTGCATAAAATATATTTTTGGCCTCGTCACTCCGACTCTCAACTGTCTCAATTTTCTCTCAAACACAGGAAATTATGGAGCCCTGGCCAGCCACTAAAAAACTCTTGTTTTTTTTTTAAACTTACTAATCACATCCCATCAATTCCCGTCCCACGTGACGGGAACCACCACTACACCTCCATGTAGCATATCATCAAACTTACTAATCACATCCCATCAATTCCCGTCAATTCCCGTCCCACGTGATGGGAACCACCACTACACCTCCATGTAGCATATCATCAAACTTACTAATCACATCCCATCAATTCCCGTCAATTCCCGTCCCACATGACGGGAACCACCACTACACCTCCATGTAGCATATCATCAAACTTCGTTGATAAACGTTGATAGTCTAACTATCAACTTGGTCCGCCAAGGATATCCCTATAATTTCCTCGAAAATCGGAGAATTTTCCTAGAATTTTTTAGAACGTTCTCGAACACCTTAAAATTTCCTCGATTTTTTTTTGAAAATTCGAGATATTGTTACAGGAGAGGGTGGGGCAATATGGACACCAGATTTAAACAACGAGTTGAAATTGATCAAATCTACTCTTCTGACTTCATTTGAAGGTCATAAAAACCAACACATTCTCATAAGACTGCGTCATAAAAAAACAGGGTAAAATGGACACCTCGATTTCTTCCTCAATTTTGTATGTTTCAACAATTTTATTCAATTTCTGAAACACTAGTCATGATTGCGATTTTCAAATTGAAAAAAAAAATTATTTTTGACGTTCGTCGTGGGTGGTGGTAAATCAAAATTTTCCTTGCTCATTTATCCTCCTCTCCGCCTATTGTTTTATGGTGATTTCCTCTGTGAGTAGAAAAGTAGGCATCTTACAAATTTTGCAAATGAACAAAAGGTCAGATGAGTTGCACGCCCTACTCATCTGACCTTTTGTTCATTTGATCACCAAATTGATCATTGGAAAAAAATTAATAATTTCAAAGTTATTTCAAGAGTAAAACAGGAAATTCAAAGCTACTGTATATTTCAAACTTCAATGTAAAATTTAATAGAGTCAAAGGTTGTTTGCTAATAACTTTCCCAACTCTAATTTTTCTTTATAAAAAGATACCGACGAGATTTTATTGGAAACTGTCCTTTGAAAATTTTCTTTATTTTTTAATAGGACCAAATTTTTCAGATGTCTATTTTACCCCACTCTTGAATAATTTCTCAGTTGTGGACTTTGCCAAGAAGCAATTTTTAAAAATCAATTATTGAAAATGTTTTGAGTGTTCATTTTAGTTCCGTCCATACAGATTTAGTAGGTGTCCATAATGCCCAATGAAACGATTTTCAAAATTTTGAATTAAAAAAAAAAATTCGCAAATTTTTAAGTGTCCATTTTACTCTTATTGTCCATATTACTCCACCCCCATCTAATTTTTTCCAAAACCGGAGAATTTTCCTAGAATTTTCTGGAAAACCCAAGAATTATCTAGAACTGCTCGAAAACCCAAGCTTTTTCTGGAATTTTCTACAAAACTGAAGAATTTCTTTGAATTTTCCAGGGAATAGGAAAATTTTCTCGAAAACCTAAAAAATTTCTCGAACGTGCTCGGACACCCTAGAATTTCCTCGAATTTTGCTTGAAAACTCTAAATATCCTTATAATTTTTTCGAAAATAGGAGAATTTTCCAGAGTTTTCTCAAAAACCGGAGAATTCTCTCGAAAATCGAAAATATTTCTCGAAAACTTCATAGAAAACATGAGAAGATCTACCGGAAAAAATAACGAACAGAATAAGAAACGAAAACTGCGGTGCCCCTTCCAAGCCCCACTTTTATATGTCACCCTGCTTTCCTGCCATTCCCGCAGTTACCGACATAGCTATGATCCGGATAAAGCTTCTTGCTTTGATCGCAAACTGGGGGGGCGTAAAATCGCCACTCGGGAAAAAATCGTTCCAGATCCCTCCATCCGGGCAATTCCAGTGTGTAGTGAAAATCGGGCAAAACAACGCCGTACACTTGGCAAACAAATTAGCTATTTTCTAAAACTAGTGCGTGCAGTCATTAAGAAATAATTAGGTAAATTTTCTAAAATCTTTTTTACAATTTAGAAAATAGCAATTAATTAATAGTCATTAAAAAATCGTCCGACCGTACACTTGGCAAAAATTAATAAAAATAACGAAGTTTCAACTCTAATCGATGCAAAATCATTTGGGAATTGTAGGGAAATAGTTTTTCCTCTGTGGAAAAGTGGCATTATATCGATAATCAATGGAAACAAAATTTCATTGGTGTATTTCTACGTGACCGTCTCCACCTATGCCAATGGTACTGTGGAAGGGGATTAGGATTATAGGTTAGGGCATTCTGTCATAACATGGCACTGTCAATTTCCAATGAGGAACCAAAAGGATTTCTTAGATGAGCCAGGCACAACCAGCTCAGCGAGTTCAAGAGGATATTTGTGAGTTATGCCTAGAGGTCAACAAGAAGGGGCTCCCGAGCTTGAAAGCATATTGCCAACTCTTAGGAAAACTCATGATGCTTCTTAGAAGAGAGGAACCAGTTTCAGGGACGCCCACTGTCATAAGGACCTTTATGAATACACACATTAGGCTTGAATTGAGTCTTCAAGATATCAAGAGCATAATCAGCATATTATTGCTGGTGGCCGAACTGCAGAATCTTCAGAGTCAGGGGGAGGATCGAACGATTGAAATTAAGTCCAGGTAAAGGATCTGTTTGTCAGAGCTATTTGTGAATCGGTAGCCATTGCGATCATAACTCTTCCTTTTGAAGCATAATATGCTTTGGACAACATTTCTGGAGTGACTCGTGGCATCAGGAGACCCAATGTAGGAAATTAATTGAAGTGAGAGGGAGTATTGAAAATAACTTCACTAAAACAATCCTTTTCAAATTTTAATTTTAATTTTGGTGTATTATGGAACTGGTTGACAATTAAAAGTAATAATGAATGCAAACATAAAATAGTGATTTCAATGAATAATTGAAAGATATATCTCCAAGTGCTCTCGCCCGTGTTGCTGGGCGAAGTGACTTGATCTCCACTTCCTAGTGGAGATCTCCAACGCTGCATTAGTCATTTGTTCAGCCTAACGATCCCGGCCTGCGACGCCAAGGTATAAAATGCCTCTCAAAATGTTTATTTTATATGCTGGTGGTCGTCCGCATATAAGGGCGACTTTGTTCCAATTCCATGGAAAGACCTCTGATGACGCCTTGGAAAATTTTTCCCCACACCGAGCTTCAAAAAGCATCGGCCGAAAGTTAATTTCTTAAGGAGAAGGAGGGGGATGCTTAATTCTTATTTTAGTGCTAAGTTCAAGAGGATGCATCAGGAAGGAAAAAGGGATGGCAATGATGGTCCTGAAGATCATTCCAGCTCTGAAAAATCCTTCAGCACCTTTTGCTGAGTTCACCAAGGTGTTCTTCATGAATACCGGGATGTTGAAAACGCAGAATGTTTGGATAATGACTCAATATAAGAATATTAAGCTGAGAGTGACTGATGGGAGAGACAAACCGAATGAGGACGAGAGTATGGCGCTTCCTGTGGTGAAGAAACCCCGCATGGAAGTGACTTTTGGTGGTAACAATTTAACGGTGGACTATCCGGCGGACAATAATGAGAGACAGCAGAGTGGCGCGATCGATATCGTGAGGGTGCTCAAGAACAGCCCCATGAAGTTAGCAGACCAGGGTCATCAGATCGCGTCGGCAAGTATGTCAAAAATACGGGGTTTTTATGGGCTTTTTTTCTACAGAAAAATTAAATTTTCTGCTTAAATATTTTGGCCAAAAAATCGATTTTTGAGTTTGGGGTGTTAAGCTAGCAGACCAATGGGATAAAATCGGGATAATTCGTGTACAATGGCAAAGAATTAAATACGAGTTAATTTTCTGCAAGAAAATAATTTCATTTTTCCGGAATTTTCCCCGAATTTTCAAGGACCTCAAATGGGGGTCAAATAAGGGTAGGGGCAAAGCGGGTTGCTCTGACCCTAGCATCGCTGGACATGTTCGAGAAAATATGTGCTTTTATTTGACGTCTATTCAAAATTTTCGGCTTAAATATTTTGGCCAAAAAAATGGATTTTTGAGTTTGGGGTGTGAAGCTAGCAGACCATTGGGGTCGAATCAGGATAATTCATGCACAATGGCAAAGAATTGAATACGGGCCAATTTTCTGCAAGAAAATAATTTCATTTTTCCGGAATTTTCCCCGAATTTTCCTCAAATGGACCTCAAATGGGGGTCAAATAAGGATAGGGGCAAAGCGGGTGGCTCTGACCCTAGCATCGCTGGACATGTTCGAGAAAATGTGCTTTTATTTGACGTCCATTCAAATTTTTCTGCTCAACTATTTTGGCCAAAAAAATCGATTTTTGAGTTTAAGGTGTTAAGCTACCAGACCGATGGGGTCGAATCGAGATAATTCGTGCACAATGACAAAGAATTAAATACGGGCTAATTTTTCTGCAAGAAAATAATTTCATTTTTCCGGAATTTTTCCCGAATTTTCAAAGACCTCAAATGGGGGTCAAATAAGGGTAGGGGCAAAGCGGGTTGCTCTGACCCTGGCATCGCTGGACATGTGCGGGGAAATATGTGCTCCTATTTGATGTCCATTCAAAATTTTGTGCTTAAATATTTTGGCCAAAAAAAAGTTTTTTAAGTTTGGGTGTTAAGCTAGCAGACCAATGGGGTCGAATCGGGAGGATTCGTGCACAATGGCAAAGAATTAAATACGGGCTAATTTTCTGCAAGCAAGAAATTTCCTTTTTCCGGAATTTTCCCCGAATTTTCAAGGACCTCACATGGTCAAATAAGAGTAGGGGCAAAGCGGGTTGCTCTGGCTCTAGCATCGCTGGACATGTTCGGGGAAATATGTGCTTTTATTTAAAGTCCATTCAAAATTTTTTACTTGAATATTTTGGCCAAAAGAAAGATTTTAGTTTGGGGTGTTAAACTAGCAGACCAATGGGGTCGAATCAGGATGATTCGTGCACAATGGCAAAAAATTAAATACGGGCTAATTGTTTGCAAGAAAATTTCATTTTTTCGGAATTTTCTCCGAATTTTCAAGGACCTTAAATGGGGGCTAAATGAGGGTAAGGGCATTTTGAATGGACGTCAAATAGGAACACATATTTCCCCGAACATGTCCAGCGATGCTAGGGTCCGAATAATCCGTTTTGCTCCTACCAGTGTTGACATGTGCCGTCCGAAGTTTGTCATTAGATGGAGTGGAAGAAATCTACTTTTCCAGCTGTGAAATCACCAGATTTTTTCCCTCCATTTGAAAATACCAAATTTCGTATATTATCGTTTATCCTTAATTTTATAAAATTTCTATTCAGAGAAAACAATTTTAAATAATGTTAAACTCATAAATAAAATTAAACTTATTCATCGAATCAAAAGACTTCAGAATACTCATACTCTCATCCTTTCACTGAAGATTCAAATTTTTTAATTTTGTAAATTAGTCAGTATCTCAGTGTCTAATTGATAATCTTCTTCCCAGCTGGATCACAAGCGAGTTCGTTCAATGCTTTCTCGAAAGCATATCCCAAGTACGGGTTTGGGTCCGAATGCTTGGAGATATCGTCTGTGAAGATATTAATCGTCGCTGTTGGGATAATGATTCGGGAGACAATTGTTTTAACCAGGTTCTTAAGATCGTCAATTTCTTTAGCGGATCAGCTGATTGAGCTTCGAATACTTTCATCATCCATTATCATCCTCAACCACTAGTTTAAACCATTCATGCATATTTTTTATTTAATTCTTAGCTCGAGCGGTGATCTGGGTAAAATTGAAAATATGGAGACCGAATCCAGGTGAAACTTTATCTGAAGTTGATGAAGGTTTTTCAAACGAGTCTATGCGTATGTGTTTTGATATTATTTGCCCTCGAATTCGATAAACGAGATAAGTTTAATTCATTTATCTATTTTGGAAAATTTTAGTGTCTGACGAAGAACTCGGCCCAGCTTTCGTGGAGATCACCGTTCGAAATGACTAAGAAGGATATTATGTTTAATTGAACCATTTGTTCGTGAAAAAAAAATCTCTTCCCTGGAAAAAAAGCATTTTCCACTGTTCTCATGGTTCCATTGAATATCACCAGTTTTGTCACCGCGTCGACGACCTGAAATTCCTGTCACCAGATGCCCATATGAAATCACCAGATCTGGTGATAAAATCACCGACCTGGCAATCATGGAGAATAGAGACCTATTCTCCATGCTGGCAATACTGGCTCCTACCCTCATTTGGCCCCCATTGGGCGTTCTTGAAAATTGGGGGAAAATTTCGGAAAAATAAAAGTATTTCCTTGCAGAAAATTAGCCCGTATTTAATTCTTTGCCATTGTACACGAATTATCCTAATTCGACCCCATTGGTCTGGTAGCTCAACACCCCAAACTCAAAAATCGATTTGTTTGATCAAAATATTTAAGCAGAAAATTTTGAATGGACGTCAAATAGGAGCACATATTTCCACGAACATGTCCAGCGATGCTAGAATCCGAGGAACCCGTTTGGCTCCTACCCTCATTTGGCCCCCATTTGAGGTTCTTGAAAATTCCGGAAAAGGGACATTCCACGCTATTTCGATCAAGAAAAAATGCATGTTTTTTTTTCCTGTGATAATTTGACATATTGGGAGGGGCCGGTAGAGATATCATTTTCTGGAAAAAAAAAATGAAAAAAATTNCATTCCACGCTATTTCGATCAAGAAAAAATGCATGTTTTTTTTTCCTGTGATAATTTGACATATTGCGAGGGGCCGGTAGATATCATTTTCTGGAAAAAAAATGAAAAAAATTTTTTTTTGAAATTTTTATGGCTAGTCACAATTTTGGCATACTGAAAAACACTTTTTTTTTAGACCTCGTAACTCAGCAAATATGCATTTTATGGAAAAAATGTAAAAGGTCTTTTTCGTTGGGAAAGGATGAATTTCTATCTAGAAAAAAAAAACGGTAGGAAAAAGTCAATGTTTATGAATTTTTTTAACAACAAATTGATTTGTTTATAAAAAAAAATATGCTGACATAGAGCTAAAAATCTGAAAAAAATATATGATGTAGCACATGTCTTCCTGAGTTTTATGCAATTTTTTTGGCGAGGTACCACTCAATAGTTCATGAGCTATGATTTTTTTTATGAACAAAGTCCCATTTTTCTTGAATACCATTGACGTGGTAAATTTGGAAATTCATCGAATACACTGTTTATGGGAAGAGTAGAAGAATAGTTGTCTGTTGGGAAGAGGTGAATTATTATACACAATCAATTTGAGTGAGAAAATAACAATTATTATTTAATTTTTATTATAAACTAATTATTTTTGGAAAAAAAATTATGATGTCTTAATGCAAAAATTTGAGAAAAAATCAGGTTACAGAGAATAATCAGTCACACAAGGATGGAATAGTTCGNTAATGCAAAAATTTGAGAAAAAATCAGGTTACAGAGAATAATCAGTCACACAAGGATGGAATATTTCATTCAATTTCTATTGTACATTTCTAAATAATTAAATAGTTCATTAAATAGCTAAGGGTGCTGTTCATCGTCGTGCTCTCTTGTTGTTCCTTCTGCCGGGATTCTGAAATTTGATTTCAAAATATAATTGACTCCTGTATGACACTTACTTCTCTACACAATGATCTTCATAGTCCTGATCTAATGAATAAAGTCTACATCTAATTTTGTGGGAATTGGGAATTGGAACAAAAGAATGGAACTTCCGTGTTCCAGAGATAGTGATTGCATTTTTGAAGCGTGATTCCAAGGCAGTTTCCTCTGCCATGTGCTCTTCATTGGTGCAGTAAATTGTATTTATACCATTTATTGACTTTACAGCGAAATCGTACAAGTGTCTACAAGTAGTAATTTGCCCAAAATCTGGACGCTGTAGACTTGCACGAGTCGCTGCTCTTTTGACAGTGCCGCCAAGTCCATCACACGGAGACTTTCCGTGGGATGTTGCAAAAAAATGCCACTCGGCAGCAATGCCAAAATCTTCTAAATGATGCGACAGATCGATAAAGTTCTTTTTATTTTTGTATTGCGCACTGGCACCGTCGGAAAAGTAAGTAATTTTCGTCATTTTTGAGTATTTTCGCTTCAAATCTGCAATCACTTTCTTGTGGAACAAGTTTACGGCTACGGTGTCATGATTGAGGGATTCACATATGATAACAAAACTGTCATGCTTCAGTCCTGTACTGTCTCGATGATGTCGAATCAAATTTCAGAATCCCGGCAGAAGGAACAACAAGAGAGCACGACCATGAACAGCACCCTTAGCTATTTAATGAACTATTTAATTATTTAGAAATGTACAATAGAAATGTAAATGTACAATAGAAATTGAATGAAATATTCCATCCTTGTGTGACTGATTATTGTCTGTAACCTGATTTTTTCTCAAATTTTTGCATTAAGACATCATAATTTTTTTCCAAAAATAATCAGTTTATAATAAAAATTGAATAATAATTGTTATTCTCTCACTCAAATTGATTGTGTATAATAATTCACCTCTTCCCAACAGACAACTATTCTTCTACTCTTCCCATAAACAGTGTATTCGATGAATTTCCAAATTTACCACGTCAATGGTATTCAAGAAAAATGGGACTTTGTTCATAAAAAAAATCATAGCTCATGAACTATTGAGTGGTACCTCGCCAAAAAATT